CATAGCACATGAACAGACAATAGTGCAGGGAAGACCCAGGGAGGGGGCAGGATTGAGGTGGATGGTGTCAATGGGGGTGGGAGGGAACATCTGTAATACTTTAAACAATAAAGATAATGTTTTTAAAGTAGATGGAGGTTAATATTTCACATTGGACACAGGACCTGAACTTAGCATAATTATTTTTCGGCTTTTTTTATTTTTTCTACCTCAAGAGTTTAGCAGCTGAAGAGTCTGAGCTACGATTTCGACAACTAACAAAAGAATACCAGGCCCTCCAAAGAGCGTATGCCCTCCTGCAGGAGCAGACTGGAGGCATCATCGACGCTTTTTTCGGCTCCAAGGTTAGTGTGTGTCTCGGAGAGTGCTCGGAACTGGCTTTTTACGCAGCCCTCGCAGCATCAAAGACTCACCGACATAAAAATATCAATCCGGTAGCTTTCCCTGTGCCCTTCTCTCCTCTGCGGCTTTTGAACTGTTGTATCTTTTATGTCAACAAGCTTGGATCTAGAGACATTAGAACCAGCCTGGATCGATGCTTTTGTTTCTTTTAGATATTTGAGTATCTTGCTATTTGAAAACTTAACATTTTCAAAACTAGACAATATTGAATGTTGATAATCCATTTTTTTCAGTTTCTTGCTTGGGGAAAAAAAATCACTTTTGTCTTTCAAAAGCAATGGTTAGCCAGTTTCTCTCCTTAGTTAGTAAGTACACAGCATTGCATCAGCAGCCTCCTGAGAATTTCCACTGCCAATATCTCATTTAATCCTTGTGACGGCTCCCAAAGGCAGGTATTTTATAAAAGAGGAATTTGAGGCTGAGAGAGGTTCATTGAATTGCCCAAGATCACACAGGTAATAAGTGGGAAACTGAGATTCCAACTCAAGTCTTACTGGATCAGATGTTCCTTCCATTTTTTACAATTGCCTCTCATAAGCCTATTTCAAAAATATAAAAATAAACACACACAATGCTAACATTTAACGTTTATTTAGTGCTTGCTGTGTTCCAGGCATTGTGCTGAGCACTTTATATACATTTATATCATGGAATCCTAAAATAGCCCTATGCATTAAATGCTTTTGTTATCTTCTTTTTATAGAAGTGGAAATAATATCTTAGAAAGGCTTAAATGTAGCTTAGCTCAATTAAAATGAGAATACATAGCTTAGATTACAGCTAGGATATGAACCTAGTCTTTCTGAGTTCAGGGTTAGAACCACCCTGCCACAACTGCCCCAGAGGTTAATTAACAAAGGGCAGAAGGAGTGTGATCTCCCGTGGTTTATCCTCCTTCCTATTTACAGGGTCTAGAGCAGGGGGGGGGGACCTTTTTTCTGCCAAGGGCCCATTTGGATATTTAAAACATAATTTGTGGGCCTTACAAAATAATCAACTTAGAAATTAGCCTGCTATATATCTGGTCAAACATTTAATGAACTCACCCCTAATGCCTTGGCAGGGCTAAACCACGGGCCTTATACATCCTGTGGGCTGGACATTCCCCACCCTTGCTCTTGAGTATGCTGAGGAGTGTTGTAGGACCTACTGTTAGTTGTTTAGTGGAAAAGGATAGATACTATAGTTATATATTTTTAAGTGGTGACATGTATACATGCACATACATATATATGAGTAAACATGTTTACAAAAAAGCAATCATCAGAATGGGGTGTACATGTGTGCCTTCATATTTATGTCCTATAACTATAATAGTTGTGGTTTTCATTATCAGCATTTATTAAGCATTCTAGCTAACATAACATTGCCAATTAAAATAATATCATATGCCTTGTGTTTTGGAGAGCTGGTCATATAGAAATTAGTTGTTTTACTCTTACCTCACTTTCCCATCTAAATAAAAGTTTAGCTTTATCTCTGGCTATTAGAATAAAAAAAAACACTTAACATGCAAAGCAAAATAGTCTAAAATGAATCAAGATGTTGGAAAAAGCAACACAATAAAATCAAAGAAGTAGAAATGAAAAAATAGACAATGTAATATAGATGAAATAGTATCAATGAAAACAAAAGATAAAATTATTTCGATGCAAGAAAAAAAATAAAGTACACTCAACACCCATTCAAAGTTAAAAAAGCTCTTAGCAAAATTAAGCTTGGCATTTTTTTTAACCTGATAAAGATGAATACAATCCTTAACAGTCCAAATAAATATTCTCCTCTCTATAAGGAATAAGGAAAGGATACCTACCATTCCTGACTTTATTCACCTTTGTAACAAAGAATTTATGCAGATCATAAGAGAAGAGAAAAATATATGTATGTTCAGAAAAAAATAAAACCTAATTTTTGCAGAAAATAGAATCGTAAACAGAAAATACGAAAATATCTAAGAATAAATTACTACACTAAATGAAGTAGGGTTATTCCTTAAAAGATTAGTGTTCAAAATTATTAATACACACAACACTTGACATCTACATGGACACATACATACATAAATACTTGGATTTGGATTTAGATTTAGGTCACAAAGTTGGCTCTGAATGAATGGAAAGATTTTGGAGAGGCAAAATGGGAGAAGGCTTGTCAAATGAGAGCAAGCTGGAGAGTCACAAAGCATATTTAGGAGACGGGAGATCACCAGCAGGTAAGGGGTGGACTGTGGTGCTCCTGAACAGTGGGAAAAGATTGGAAATATAATGGGAAATCTCAAGTCCCAAACTAAAGAGCTTGAATTTTAACCCAATGGCCAAAGGAGCCCCTGAAAGTTTTAAGCAAGAATTTAGATCACAAAAATAGTTTTAAGGGATTCTTTGGTCATAGAATGTTCTTCTTCTTCTTTTTTTTCCTTGCTGAGTTCTAATCAAGGAAGATGAGGGGAAGAAAAACATTGAGTTACCATTTTACTTACTGAGTTCTGGATTTTTGATTTCACTAGGCTCAAGAACAGCTCCAAGCAGAGGTGCTAAGGTATAAAGCCAAAATTGAAGATCTGGAAGCGACTCTGGCTCAGAAAGGGCAGGTAGGCATTTGGTTGCTGGCCATTCGATCTGACCTTCCTCTAGATCACCCTTGTGCACGGGCCACACCCAGGACACGGCTTGGCTCTCCACAGTGACCTTTCTCAAATGTGTCAGAATGTCCAGCGCTGTGTTTCTGTTCCTGGTGTTTTTCTGGCCAGAGCGTGAACCCAGCCACAACAGCGAATGAGGTTGGGCAAGAGGGAGATGCCAGAGGAAGAGAAGCCCTGTACCAATAGCCTGGGGTGGTCATACACTGCTAAGACAAGGACCCACCCCTGCAGCTGCATTCGTTGCCTCTCCGCTACATTTATGGTTCTGCATTTTAATGTTTTCCATCCATATGTATCTAGCCTGTGTGCATTCTGACCCTTGTCACTCTTTGCCTCTGTGGTCACTTCTGAGTCCCCAAAAGGCTGGTCCTGGATTATTCAGACTGAAAAAGGTAGAGGTAGTGAGTGACAATGAAAAGGGGGTTCAATTTTCCTGGCAGCTTTGGCCCCAGTTGTCTTTGAATACGGAGCTGGCAGGGGTTGGGTGTCATTTACCAATGGTTGGCAGGCAAACAAACTGGGTGAAAAGAAGACGGCTCTGGCAAAGTGGTTTGACAACACGGGCTCTTTCGTGCCACTCTGAAATGCTGACTGCGCGATATTCTTTGTCAAACAGGATTCACACTGGGTAGAAGATAAACAACTTTTCATTAAGAGAAACCAGGAGCTTTTAGAAAAGGTATGTTGGGCGCAATACCCTAGTGGGGCAGAGGAGACAATGATGAGAGATCCAGGAGCAGCAGGGGTCCTCTCAGGAGTGGCACAGGGGCCAGGGGAAGGGGCGGCTTCTCGGTGCTGTATTCTCCTCTGCTGCGTGCTCGACTGCATCCCTGTCACCGCCATCACCATCAGTGGAGTGGCACGTGTGCATGGCTCTGTGCTGGGCATTGCGCCAACGCAAAAGGATGTGATCCCTGATACCTATTGATGTGTTAACCATATATATATATATACTGTATATATGCTGTACATACATACATATATATATACACACAGCCACACGTGCACACATGCTATGTGGTTGTCCATCTACAAAAAGCACACTATGAATAGGACTTGTTATTTTGTGCAAGGAAGTGACAGGTTATGACTCCAAGTCCATGCTGCAACCTATCACAGTCAGTTTTCACTTTTAGTCTTTTTTGCTCAACTTGGCTGTTAATTTTTTTTTTTTAATAAAAGAACTTTTGAAAAGATTCCTCCAAAGCACAAAATTTCATGTCCAGGATTTTGTTCAACAAATCAAGATGCAAAAGCCTAGTTTAGTCCCAGATGATGGGTTATTTTGATTTGGGGCAATGAAATATAACAGATCATTTTAAGTTCAAAGGTGGCTTTTCCTTTGGTGTTTACTTTCCAGGAATATAATTTTAAAATTGCAACATAATCCTTTATATTTTTCTTGACAAAAATAGAATTTGAAAGCCCATTGGAATAAGGGAAATAATTCTGTAGGTCTACCCAAAATTATATAGAAATTATCTTAGAATAATTTCTGCCAATATTTCCTAGCTTTGACAAGTAATAGAAATTAACCATAAGGAAAGGAAAGAAGATACTAGTACTTGTCCTCCTTCCCCTCTGGCCTGGCAAAGTTAGGACATCCTATCTCACCTTCTGCATGATTAGAGACAGGGCTGATAAATACAAAGTAGGTGGGTATTTCAAGACTGAGAACTCATACTCTCAGAAAGGCTAAGGGGTCCCTACAAAGAAACCTTATTAGACGTTGGCTCTGGTCTGTGAATTACAACCTACAAACCAACTATCTACTTGCTAGCACTAAACACCAGAATCAGGAATTTCCCCCAATATCCCATCTCTAGTCCCAATACAAGATGCTAGAAAGTAGAATATTTTTGTGATCTAAGTCAACTTCTGAAAACTTTCAAATATTTTCTTGACCACAACTATCTAATGTAAAAACTTGAATTGACTTGAATTAATGTCACACAGCTCACTATTTTCCCATCTTTCTTTCCCTCTAATTTTTGTATGTCATGAGGCTATGAGTAAAAGAGGATTTTAGCAGTCTCAGAAATGCCCAGTAATATGTGCTATTACATCTCTTTGTCATCTAAAACATAATTCCCATTATGTCTTCTGTCTGATTTCATTTGGTCTTGATTTCTTTGGGCTAAAAGCAGAACGTTGAGCTCAGATTTTTAAAAGTGAAACAAAACTGAAACAACAATAAAGCAAAGCATCCTACTTCAAGTATGTATACTTGGGAAAGTAAAATTCATCCTATGCTGAAAAGCCCCTGTTTTTTTATACTTCTAACTTTAAGGCTTTAAATAATTACTGAGAAATGTCTACCCACATAGCTAATATCAAAGGCAGCCCATAACCCTTTGCAGATCATGAAATTTGTTGATTCCTTGTAGACATGGACCCTGTCTATAGGGTGAGGCATGTTCATACACAACCCACTTAATTCCATGCTTCATCAGGTTATACTAGAAGTCCTATAGGACAGCCCTATAGGAAAACAGAGGAGTTATTATTCTGGATGGGTAGACATGGAAGCTCTTACGGTAGGAAATGTTAGAGCTTGGTGTCCCAGGAAGTGTAGAATTTCCTCACCTAGAAAAGAAGTGGGGGGATCCCTTTTAGGCAGACAGATGAGCAAAGGTAGCTCCTGAAGTAGTCAGTCCATGGAGTAGATCTGGGTTTCTAGATTCTAGTGTGTATGTGTTCATGCGAGTGTGTGAATGTGTTGAGATGAGAGTGATAACATCTAAAACTGGAAAGCTACTTGGTAACCAGAATATCAAGGTTTTTAAATTCCATATTGAGAAGTTTGGCTTTACTCTGAAGGTAACTGGAACTCAGCAAAGTTTGTATATGATCAGAGATGTTTTTTAAAAATTATTTTCCCGACAACTTCTAACTCCAGAAATAAGAGGTATAAGATTCCATTATGTACTCCATTCTGGGAACCCCAGCAAGGCCATAATGAGTACCCTCAGATTCACTACTCACAGGGTCTCTAGACTTTATCTCAATGAATGGAGGTGTTCTCCAGTGTTTTCCTCTATGACCTGAAAAACTCAACCGAAGGATAACTGGAAGGAAAGCCAAAGACTTGCCATAGTCACATCTACTTGGGATGTTTTTTTCATGGTCTAGAATCTAGATGGGTTATTCACTGAGTAAATGAATGCTATCTATGCTTGCTTCGCAAAGTTGTATTGGCAATGTTCTCCTAACTTGAGGATTTACTTTATTAGATAGAAAAGCAGGAGGCAGAAAATCACCGCTTACAACAGGAACTGCAGGATGCCAGAGACCAGAATGAACTGCTGGAGTTTCGAAACCTAGAGCTAGAAGTAAGGAAATGATGATCATAATGATGATAATAATCATAATAGCTAACACACATGGAGCACGTGCTATGTGTGAGGTGCTGAATTAAGCATTTCAGCTGCATACTCTCATTGGACCTCACAACCACAATCCAGGTTTTATAGATGAGGCAAGTGAGGTTGAATCCGTCGCCCAAGTCCTGTGATTAGTGAGTGGTAAAGCATTGATGCAATTCAGGATGTCTGCCCAGATACTGTATTTTTTCAACACTATTAATGCCTTGATGAACAAGACTAATGAATAGACTTTAAATAATTTAAAGAAGCAATTTCAAACTTCATCAATGATTCATTGCTTTCAAATAATCATTTCCATCCTTCATTTAATTCTGACTTGAAAAAAGTCACCTTAAAACTTATATTTCAAAGTGCACTATATGCAAAATTATTTTATCATTGGACATTTGAATTTTTCAGTCAACTTTTTTAGTCTATCATGCATTTATGCCAAAAGCTAAGAAGCAAGGTAACTTGTTTTGAGAAATACTTTGGTTAATCTAACCAAATTTTAGAGTTGTGTTTTTGTTTTTTAAGTAAAACATATCAATCAAATAAGATTTTGATTGTATCATGCAGAATCTGGCTTAGGATCTGGTTGAATGTATGTTGAAATGTAAAGGATAAGAAACATTCTTATTTAATTTATCTTATTCTGCCAACAATTTTTTCTTGAGGTCCTTTCAAATTAGGTCTGGATAGAGTTAGTAGTCAGTATGCTTCAATGAAAAAGAGTTGTCTTTGGTAGCCCATATACAGCACATTATTCATAAAGCTTGAGTGGATTGAATATGCAAAAGTCTGTTAGCTGCCACAAAACTGCATGGTCAAAAGATAACTCTTTGTGATACCTAAAAGCTCTAAATATTCTGATAGTTTGACTTGCAATCCCACTTCCCACATTTCCCTGATCCAAAAAATTTGCAAGATTGGATGACACCATTTATAAATTCCCTTACATACCTTTGCTGACTAATCAGTCATTTCCATTAAATTTAAGCATGAACATCTTGAGGTTTTTTTTTTCCAAATGTCATATTGATACACTGCTGAAATAGCAGACAACTGGTTTAGTGTTTAATCAGTTGTTGCTTTTTTTTAATGCCCATATATTCTCCACTGTATTTCAAGGAAAGAGAGAGACGGTCCCCTCCATTTAATCTACAAATTCACCCATTCTCAGATGGTGTGAGTGCTCTCCAGATCTACTGTATGAAAGAAGGTGTCAAGGTAGGCAGATATTTGATGTTTTACGTTTGTAAGAAAGTGGAAAAACTGGGAATTGGAAAAGGGGAGGTTGCTCATGACTTTTGTCTTTCGGTCACTGGATGTCATTTTGATACAAACTGGGTAAGAATTGAAAGTAGTCATGTCCATTGGAAAATCAATAGAACATAAAATAAATGTGTGACAGATGTGTGAAATGTAACAACAAAGAACACAGGAAGCCATGATTATTTAGAACAGAGTAACATAAAGAATATGAATTCAAAATATTAATATAATCTTTAATTATCTAGAGGAAATATTCAATGAATTCAGTAGTTCAATAAACATATTTCAAGTACGCTAGATAAAAATGTACTTGTTGAGTCCCTCTGTTGTGATGTTGGTTGTAAGTGCTGTGGAATTCATATTCTTGGAATTTCAGCATTAAAAGAGACCTTGAAATTGTCTAGTTCAGCATCTCTCTAGGTATGTTTAATTTAGGGAAGATTTATATTGCTCAGTTTGACAAAATATACTTCTATCTGTAGTGATATTGGATTACATTGTAAATAATATTAAGGTTGAATGGAGCTGGCTCCATCTCCTGGGATCAATATTGTCCTTCAATGTAATGAAATCACATGGCAAATATCTATTCCAGAAGTAAAACTGGGAAGCCTCCCGCTATTCCTGGCCTCTCCTTACCTTCTGCATGGCCCTTCCTGCTCCCACTTTGAGCTGCCAAATATCCTGCGTTAGTTGCCTTCCCTCTGCCTATGAGAATGAGCTAGACTTTCCCCTGTGGTAGGATCTGCTATGTTGCCTTTGAAGATAAGAGGAGAAAGTGGTACTAATGAGGTAAAAAGTGTGGGGTAGGAGGAGGGGATGAGGTAGTAAAATTGTGCTTCCTTGACTTCCATCTTCAACCACTTTCACCAAGGTTTAAACTCTGGCCTTCCTGAGCTACATGAAAATTTGTAAAGCAAAGCAATTTTTTATTCAGCTCTAATTAAATGAAAAGTACTTTGCTTCATCTTTTTCTTGGATACTTTTTTCTTACGATAAATCATAAACTACCTTACCCAATGGTTGTCATTTACACTGAGTAGCCAGATTATTATGACCACCTCATCAGTACTTCATTGACACTTCCAAAAATACTGAATATTGAAAACTTCCTAAGCAAATACTCTCAAGGTTTTATTATTATTATTATTATTATTATTATTTGCATGATTAATTCACTTCATTGTACTGATTATTATACACTGAGTTATAATAATCTGGCCACTCAGTGTATATCCAAAGGAACTCTTTGCAATGGAGTTTACTTGCTTTAGACTGATGCAAGGATTATAGTAAAAATCCGCTGTTTCCAAAAGATGAAATTAAAGCTCAATTAAAAGAAGGACTGCATTACAGTTTATGTGGCAGTCAAAATCTCAACCAACTCAGAATCCCATTAATTAAAATGAGGTTGGTTCATTATTTATATTTACTACCTATTATTTTTCTTTATACCTGAAGTCTACCATGACTGAAAAAATGGACAACTATTATAAAAAAGTTAATGTAAGCCTTCACTACATTCTAGACCAGGGGTGGGCAAACTTTTTGACTCGAGGGTCACATGGGTTCTTAAACTGGATGGGAGGGCCAGAACAAAAGCATGGATGTGTGAACTAATATAAATTCAAAGTAAACATCATTACATAAAAGGGTACGGTCTTTTTCTTTTTAGTTTTATTCATTTCAAACGGGCCGGATCCGTCCCTCAGGCCGTAGTTTGCCCACGGCTGTTCTAGACTCTTTTGTATATAATCTGTTTCTCCTCAAGATCAGCCTTTAAAGGAGGTATTTTTTTACCTTCATTTTGCAATTGGCAAAATTGAGAATGAACTGTTAAGTAGTTTTCCAAAATTCACACAGCTTATAAGAAGCACAGTGGAAATTTAAAACCAGGCGTGCCTCCTTGAAAACCCAAGGAATTACAGGGTTAAAATGTCTTCTCTATATTAGGCTTGGGGCACTGGGAAAATGGGAAGCCACATTTGTGTCTTTGACTTGAGTGCATCTCCTTGATTTTGCAGGATGTGAACATCCCTGATCTCATAAAGCAGCTTGATATCCTGGGGGACAATGGGGTAAGTATGAATTAAGTAAGTGCAGGAAAGATAAGAATTTGCCTAACAAGAGGCAAGAAATCCTTGCCAAAGTGTCGCCTGTGAAATAATATCAAGTGGGGGGCCATGGTCACCGAAGGATGTAGCTCTCCAGAGAGAATCAACAGTTTATCAGACAACTTGGCTAAAGGATTGTAAGGATCTCTGGAAGGCAGTGACAGAGATGGGAACTGGTAAAATGCTTTTCGTGAGCAGGTTTCTGATTTGAATGCCAACCACATCTGCAGTGATTAAAGCTGATTGCCTTCTGACTGTTGCTTGGAGGCATCCAGCGTGAAATTCATCAGTCATGCAATTGCAAATGGTGCTGAATAGTAGGGTTGGTGGCAGCCACATAAAAATGGACCAGGAAGCTATAGTCCTTTTTCTTTTTAAAAACACCTTCCAGGCAGGGTCAAGGCATATTAATCCAGTGGGAGGACTGTTCATTGAGATCTTAGATGAATGATACATGTAGGTTGAGAAGTTACACCATTTTTTCCCTTAAACAATTGTCAAAGGGGAGAACATTATCAATGAAATCGCATGAAACTGCTATGCAGAGATTACTGTTTATTTCATTTTGGTTTATGCTCTTCTTATAGCATGACTATTAATGAAGTATGCTAATGGTGAAACAAAACCAAGTCAGTGTTTGAGAGGTATAAAGAAACAATATACTTTTTATAGATTTTGAATGAACTCTTTGTGAAGAATTATTACTAAATAGAACATTTGTTAAGGTTCCATGCATTTGTGTCTGTGGCAAGCACTTAGGCAATATTTTCTGATAATGTAAATATCTGGCATGTCTTCAGCTTATTTTTTTTTCTGTCTTTTTTCACAGAATTTAAGAAATGAAGAACAAGTGGCCATAATTCAGGCCAGCACTGTGCTGTCCCTGGCAGAGAAGGTAATAAATTGTATTGACTTTCAAATCATCTCCGTGCCTGGCTTAACACCTAAAGAGTAGGGTAGGGTTATTGAATGCCTAATAAAGATTTTATTTTTCAGGGTGAGACAACCCAGATAAAATGAAAACACACACCAAAAAAAGTCTACACACTGATTTGGGGTGGGTGGATAATTCTTGCTTTGAAGTCTCTTAAAAATAGAATTCTATAAAAATGGAAAACCTTCTAAATTACATTATTCAAGCAATCCTTACCAAGATGGGAAACCGATAAAGAAGGATTTTGTTAGAACAAAATTCAACCGAGTATATTTGAAGATTTTTTAATTTAATTTATTGGGGGTGACATTAGTAAATAAAATTATATCGGTTTCAGGTGTACAATTCTATAATACATCATCTGTATATTACATTGTGCGTTTACCACCACAACTCAAATCTCCTTCTGTCACCATTTACCCTCTGCCACCTCCCTCCACCCTCCTTTCCCTCTGGTAATCACCATACTGTTGTCTGTGTCTATGGTGGGTTTTTTTGTTTGTTATGTTTTGTTTTGTATTGTTTTGTTTTTGCTTAATCCCTTCACCTTTTTCATCCAGTCCCCCAGCTCCCTTCCCCTCTGACAACTGTCAGTCTGTTGTCTACCTATGAGTTTCTACTTTGTCTGTTAGTTTATTTTGTTCGTTAGATTCCACATATGAGTGAAATCATACGGTACTTCCTTAAATTTGAAGAACTGATTGGCTTTTTAAGTGATTCATGGACTGGGCAGCATCCCAGCTAGCAACTATAACACCACTCTTAGAGGTCGTGCAAAACGGAAAGCTTTTATAGGAAGAAAGGTGGGGCTAGGGAGCTATTAACAAAAGAAAATAAACCAGCATTTCTAGGCCAGGACATCCTTTTTTCAGGGGAGGCAGGCAAAGGTCTTATCATGCAGGTTGCCTCTTGATCCTACGGGGAAGAGAGAAGCGCTCCAGGGACAAAGAATGTTGCCCAGAGAATTCCAGACTGGTTGACCGAGATTATATTCCCAGTAAAGGTCACAACTGCAATTAGGTCAGACATTAAGTTTAGGTTTGGTATCATGGGCTTTAGCACAAGTAATGCCATTTGTGGCCTTCTGGTGTTAACAATTGAGAAGCGGTAAATTGGAATGTGGCTCTTTTTATGGGCTTTTCCTTGGGTGTGTACATGCAAATTGTTTCCAAAGAATTCTGGGACCTGGTGGTAGCTCTCTGCAGGCTCATTCAGAAAGCCCAACATGAGAGTGTGCTCTGCCCTCTTGTGTCTAAACCTGATGGGTGGTAGGAAGAGTGAAAGAGGAGGAAAGAGCAGGTAGATAAGTCTGATAACTGGCTGTATTCAGGGTGCCTTGAGAATCGCACATAGTTGAGAGTCATGTATATGTGGTTGGGTCTAATGAGAACTATGTAAGTCCCTTGAGATGCTTCCTTAATTCCTAACTGCATATAAAGCTTGTTATAAAATAAATGAAACCAAGAGGAAGCAATCAGCTTACTACAAACTGAAATGAGGGAATTCTACAAATCAAATGAGCCTGTCATCTTACTCAAACAAAACAAAGACATTTAAAAAATGGTTATAAAATAAAAAGGTACTTAAGAAATTGCCCTAGCTGGTTTTGCTTAGTGGATAGAGCGTCAACCTGCAGACCCAAGGGTCCTGGCTTCGATTCTGGTTGCAGGTTGCAGGCCCTGTTCGGGTCATGTACAGGAGGCAACCAATCAATATGTTTCTCTCATATCGATATTTCTCTCTGTCTTTCCGTCTCTTCCACTCTCTCTAAAAATCAGTGAAAAAATATCCTCGGGTGAGGATTAGGAAAAAGAAAAGAAATAGTGAAATGACCTTTTTTGGTATCCTGATTCAAGCAAACCAAGCGTAATAAAAAGGACATTTTGCTGACAGTTGGGGAAATTTTAATATGGACCAGGTACCAGACAACAATGTTAATGTTAATTTTTCAAAATGTGAAAATGGCCTTGTGGTTATGCTTTTTTTTTTCTTTTTAATGAAAAAAGGCCTTATCTGTTAGAGATACATATTGAGGAATTTACTTGTGAAATGATATCTGGGATTTGCTCTCCCTAGTTACATGAAATACATCTTTTAATCTTCATATTATTATTGATCCCATATTACAGATAAGAAAGTTGAGGCTTTTAGAGAAATCAGGTAACCTTTCAAGTCCACAGAACCATGAAAAGCTAGAATTGGGATTTAGATCCAAAGTAGTGTGCTTCTAGAACCTACACACTTAATTATTATGCCCAATTACTTCCTGAAGGGATAAGCTGATGTTTAACTTGGTAGAGACACTGTATAAGACTTGTTCTTTTGCCGAAACCGGTTTGGCTCAGTGGATAGAGCGTCGGCCTGCGGACTGAAAGGTCCCAGGTTCGATTCCGGTCAAGGGCATGTACCTGGGTTGCGGGCACATCCCCAGTGGGGAGTGTGCAGGAGGCAGCTGGTCGATGTTTCTCTCTCATCGACGTTTCTAACTCTCTATTCCTCTCCTTTCCTCTCTGTAAAAACTCAATAAAATATATTTAAAAAAAAAAAAGACTTGTTCTTTTAAATTATATGTGTGGTAGGTTCATACCATAATATTCAAAGTTGAAATTTATTCAGGGAATTGTTCAATGCTAACATCAATGTCATAAACAGAATTATATGTTTTAAGTGTTAAGGAAATTTTCTAAGTTTTTTTTATGTGCTTTAAAATGTCTCTACTCAACAAAAATGATTCTTTAACACTTACTAGTAGCTGTACTATTTTATATATTTAAAAATTGCTAATTCTCCAGTCTTACTTGGCATTCTTCTTTTCATCATGCTCCCCACAACCATGAAGAATTGGACATCCCTTCTGGTTGGAAATTGCCCCTCATTTTTGCCTAATCACCTTTGACTCATTGTTCAGATTCCAGTGCAATTGTCACTTCCCAAGAAAGCCTGCCATGGTGATCTCCATGCGGGCAAGAATGTGTTGTTGGGCAAAAAAATGTGTTGGTTACCATCGCAGCTAGCACATTGCCTGGCACATAATAGATATCAATTAATATATTCGTTTAATGAATGAATGAATGAAAAACTATAGTCTTATTTCTGAACTAAGAGATAAAATGTACCAAGTTTTCATTTCAGTTCTTAGTCTGTTTCCTGAGCTATAAGGGGAACTGACTAAGCACCTCAGTAGAGAGCACCATATACACCATACCAGGGAGTCATGTTGAACACTTTTGTCTTGTTCAGTGGATCCAGCAAATCGAAGGAGCAGAAGCTGCCCTGCACCAGAAAATGATGGAATTGGAAAGTGACATGGTGAGTACAAAGATGAGGTATCATAAAAATTAAAGGGAAATTGAACAGGCCAATGGGAAATGACTGCTTTCTACCAGTTTTATTTGGCAGTGATGAAAGTTTGTAGCCTTCCATTATTTTGTGTACACACTGTGGAACAAAGTTCCCAGAAATCTTCAAGAACTGTTTATATTGAAAATACCCTTGAAAACTCTTTAAATGCACAAACATTAATTACACATTCAACCTGTACTGGGCACTGTTCTAGGCATTGGAGCTCAGAGGTACTCAGGACAGTCACCAGCAAAATGAGTCTTGCAGGCAGTTATGTACTGAAGGCAGTCATACACACAAAGAAATAACTGACTGTACTTGGGGCTGTATTATACACAAAGATATATTTTTAAATACTAATGGGAAAATGTGCACAATCTGAGAGGCACACAGAAGCTGAGGACTCAAGGGAAGATTAGATTTGTCTCCAGTTCCTACTGGCTCTGCCTCAGGAACAGACACCCATTAAGTAGCATTGTGGTGGTGGGTGGGATTGCCGCCACTCTCTGAATTCTTATCTATCTTTGTGTTTGCTAATCATACACAGATGTCATCAGATGAGTTTTTCATTATTCAACTCTGCTAAATTACATTTCATAACATCCTTACCTAAATACACTATCATAATATATTTGCACAGATATACGTATTAGTGAACATTTATCTTATCAAAATCTATACTCTTGGATTGGCATAAAAATCCTTTAAAGCATTGTTCATTATGTCTTTCGTGCTTCTTTCCATTGATTTTCACATTGTCTGTGTGAGACGCTGAAAGTTGAACTATTTCCCTAACAGACAAAATCGATGACCCTACAAATACTGATGATTTGTCTTGTGATGGAATTAGAGAGAACACTGATCAATATGATTATATATCACTTTCTGGTTAACTAAGCTGACTCTATTTATCAACATGGCCCTTTTTTATAGGAACAATTCTGCAAAATCAAAGGCTATCTGGAGGAAGAGCTAGACTACAGAAAACAAGCTCTGGACCAAGCATATATGGTAGGTACAGCAAGCACTCAAGAGACTCAGAGTGTTTATATCAAATACTATGGAGGAAAACATCTGATTTAATTTGTCATGCCACATACTCAAATAGGCCATAGCGTGCAATGGTTTATTTATTCAATGGTTTCCAATTCTTATTATATATCTCTAGCTCTTTGCTATGATATTAAAATATTCTTATAATCTACACTAATAAAAGAGAAAAATGGTAATTGGCGTACGACGCTACCCTTTTCATTGGCTAATCAGGGCTATATGCAAATTAACTTCCAACTCAGATGGCAGTTAACTGCCAACAAGAATTTGCATATGTAGGCACAATGCAGGGAGGTGAAAGGGAAAGCAGGAAGAAGCCCCCTGCCACTGACAGTGATCAGAAACCCAGGAGGGCGCTAAGAGCCCCCAGGGCCGCCTTTGTCCTGCCCCCCAGCCATGATCGGAGAATCAGGCGCCTTTGCCGCCCTGGCCAGTGATAGCAGGAAGTAGGGGTGGAGCCAGCAATGGGAGCTGGGCACGGTTGAAACTGGAAGTCCCTGGAGCTAGGGGTCCCTGAAGCCTGGGTCAGAGGCGTCAGGCTTGGGCGGGGGCTGGAGCAAGCGATCAGAGGGAGAGGGGGGTCCCCTGCCCAGGCCTGACGCCTGGGCCAGAGGCATCAGGCCTCTGCTGGGGCCAGAACCAGTGATGGGGGGAAATGAGGGTCCCCTGCCCAGGCCTGACGCCTGGGCCAGAGGCATCAGGCCTCTGCTGGGGCCAGAACCAGTGATGGGGGGAAATGAGGGTCCCCTGCCCAGGCCTGACGCCTGGGCCAGAGGCATCAGGCCTCTGCTGGGGCCAGAACCAGTGATGGGGGGAAATGAGGGTCCCCTGCCCAGGCCTGACACCTCTGCTGGAGGCCTCAGGCCTGGTCAAGGGGCCGATCCGGTGATTGGCGATCGGAGGGTGATGGGGGTCAATGCCTGAGTGCTCCCCGTATGTGAGAGGGGGCAGGCTTGGCTGAAGGACACTCCCCCCCACACACACACCCACACCCCCAGCGCACGAATTTCGTGCACCGGGCCCCTAGTACTTAATAAATATTTAATTTTACTTTAAATTTTTAAATTAAATGTATATCATTATATAATATTTTAATGAAAGACAGACTGCATGGCCGTGTAGATTAAAGAGAAAATGAATTAAATCCACTGGGGAGCCTAATTTAGTGGTAGACTAATAAAGTCTTTAATGTTTGTTATATACATTTTTAATTCACTTATTTCCCACAACAAGTCTAAGAGGTATAGGTGATATTATCCCTCTATTACATATGAGGACATGAAGGTTTAGAGAGTGAAAGGAATCTGCCCAAACTGGTAAGTAGGTAGTGTTTAGATCTGACTGCAGACATTGTGGTCTTAACTACCATGATCCAGCCACCATAAGCAAAGTGTATCAGTAAATAGGCTATTCCTTCTCTCCCACAGATCATGCCGAGTGAGGAGCACTCTTAACTCACTCTCCTGTACAAAAGTCATAACAAGTAATTCCTAATATTGGACGAGAGCTTGCATTTCTTCTGTCCATATGCAAACCCCCCATCATTAATCCACAACAATGACTCAAGAGAAAAAGAGCAAACTTAGAAGAGGAACATTTCAGGGAGTTGCTTGTAGAAGTTTTTCTAATGCTTTCCTGGAAGCAGCCCGAGTCACTTTTGGGAAAAGAGTGAAGCACTTAGTTTCTGCTCATAACAAAGATAAATTGGTATTTCCCCTCCAAGATGAATAAGAGGTCTGAGCATTACTTGATGGGGAAAAGAGAGAATGAGTTGGTCACTAGAGAATAAAGAAGGAAACGATTCTTCCCCTCCTTCCCACCCTTTATCCTTGCCTCCTCTACCTGTACATAAAACAATTAAGCTGTGTGTGTACTCATTCAGACAACAATACTTTAAAAAGATGAGATCTGCATAATCTATGACAAGAGTTAGGAAAACATCCCTCACCAGGGCATGTCTGTTTACCTCTGTCAAAGTCACAGGGAACAAGACTGTATATTTTGGCAACTGTGTCTGAAACATGTTTCAAAAAAATCCAAAACTGAGATGTGAGGAAGAATAGACTCTTCATCTAAAACAAGAAAAGACTTGCCCAGGCAGTGTGGCTCAGTGGTTGAGTGTCAATCTATGAACCTGGAAGGCACATTTTGATTCCTAGTCAGGGCCCATGTCCGGATTGCAGGCTCAATCCCCCAGATCAGAACGTGCAGGAAGCAACCAATCAATGATTCTCTCTCATCAGTGATATTTCTATCTCTCTCTCCCTCTCCCTTCCTCTCTGAAATCAATAAAAATATATTTTAAAAAACAGACCAATTCCAGAAGCTCCAGGCCATTTTTGGATCATATTTCCTGATTTTTATTTTAAGAAGAAATATGGGGATTATAAAGCCATCTTCAGGTACTGAGGTCTGTCATGTGGAAGAGTCGTGGCATTTTGTGCATTAAATTTACCTCTGATTTCAAGTATTGTATTCCAACTTTGACCACTTTTCAATACTTATTTCTAAAAATGTGGCCACTATAATAGATGTCTTTAAATATTTGAAGGGCTGTCAAATGGAAGAGAAAACAAACTTATTTTCAGCTACATTTCAGAATAGAAGAATGTACAGTTATTATAACAAAGTAAGAACTTTTTAACAATGAAAGTTGTCCAAGAAAAATAACAAATTTCTCATCATCTAAGAAGTTAACATATTGGATAAATGATTCTTATGGACTCTTATAAAGGGGATTATTATATGGGTAGTTAGTTTGGGAAAACTATGAAATGCATTTAATTGCTATGATCCTGTAAGACTAACTAACATATCTCTTCCCATACACACACTTATGTGTACACTCACACACCACATAGAAAATGCTCAATTCCAAAGTTAGACTTTTCTCATTTTATTTGCCAGAGAATCCAGGAACTAGAAGCTACTTTGTACAATGCTCTGCAGCAAGAAACTGTTATCAAGTTTGGCGAACTGCTGAGTGAGAAACAGCAAGAGGAGCTGAGGACGGCGGTAGAGAAGCTACGGCGGCAGATGCTGAGGAAGAGCCGAGAATATGACTGTCAGATCCTTCAGGAGAGAATGGAGCTCTTGCAGCAAGCCCACCAGGTGAGGATGAGTGACTTCTGCGTAGGGTTGGTACTAAGCAAGTGGGACTCGGTACCAAGTACACAGTGCTGCGCATGGGTGTGGAGAAGCCCAGGAGTGAGACGCTATTTTCAGAGTAAAATAAACCACTTTTGTTTTCTACCTACCTTTAGATAAGGGAGGACTGTTTTGTAATGACTCCATCTTAAGAAAATGGGCGTTGTAGACGCACTGCATTTTACTACTGTTTCTGCAACTGCTTTGTCACGAAATACCCTTTGACTCTCATGGAGCCTGATTCTCCCTGTTATGCAGGGAGGCAGGACTTCCTCCAGGACAGGACTAATGCTTTCCTCCTGTTACTCAGCCCAGCCCATACGTAGTCTGATCACACAATCTGAAAAGGGTGAAAGAACGCAAGGGCCTTTCCCTTTATTCCCAGAACAAACAGCAACAAAGCTTGGAAGATGCCACTTACTTCCTGGCATTTGCGGCATGTCAGCAAGTAAACTAAGGGCTCTACTCACATCATTTCATTTAATTTACAAAAGAGCCCACGAAGGCAAATATCCTTAATATCCCATTTCAAGAGAGAATGATTCTGAAATAAGAGCACTTAAATGGTTTGCCCAAGATGACACGGATAGTAAGCAACAGAACCAGAATTGCAGCCCAGGTCCACCTGACCCCAAGGCCACTGCGCGTAACCACTTTCCTAACTGACGTATGCAGCTTGAGTTGTGTGTGATTTGTGATTCATCTACACCAGCGAGGTTCAAAATGGACACCCAATGTTCATTTATAGCCCAGATTCTTCATCCAACTCTTAGTTTATGTCTTAGCTTAGAAGGTGAGGAAAAGGTCAAAGGTAGATTCCATAAGAATTTCAGAATTGGAAGTGCCAGGCTATATAGTATTTGTCACGCAGAAGCTGTAACAAGCAACTGGTATAAAATCCAGATGGGCTCTACAAGAAGAAGGAATCATGTGGTCATCAGAGATCAAGGTGAGTGGAAGAGGAACAGGGGTTATTTGATAACATCAATAAGAACCATGCGTGGGCAACTTGGCATTTAGCACACCTCAGATGTAGCCGGGAGCTCTGTGGCTAACAGACTCTCCAAGATAACAGGGAACTCTGAAGCCATTTGTCTAGTTGACAGACAAATTCAAAATAGTCCTGGAACTTTATTGTCTTCAGGATTAGTTGGGTTATTTTTTTCATGTTTGCTTTTTCCCTGATTTATCAGTTCCCTCCTTAAAATTTTTATGGAAGTGTAATCTCTACTGTGTATTATGAGAACTGGCCAGTCGTGTTTTGTGAGGAAATTCCACCCTGAAACAGAGTTAAAATAAGGTTGAAAAGAAAGGTTAATAAAAAGCAATGGGCTTGTTTGCATTTGTGTTAGTCAGCTTTATCCAGTTTTTACTGTAGTAACAACCAACCAAAAATCTTAATCCAAATGGTTTACAACGACGTTTGTTTCTTGTTCACTAGTTCTGATTCACACTGTCCCTGCTAGGAGGCAGCATTCCACAAGTCACATCCCACCCGCCAACACCAGTCCCATGGTCCAGCATGAGGACAATGGGTGGGGACTGTATCTCTCATGATGAAAGGGTCTGCAGGGATAGACCCAGTAGAGAGGGTTAGCAAATCACTTCAACCACAGGTGCAGGTGATTTTGAAAATGCAGCAGTTGGGTATGAAAAAAAATGTATATGTGATATTTCCAGCTGCTCATACTATTGCTAATGTTTTTATAGAAAGTTGACTGTTTTAGGTTGGTGAAGAATCTTTTGGTTCAACTTAATGCCCACTAATGCTTTTCCTTTTTCTTCTTTCTCCAGAGAATCCGTGACTTAGAAGATAAAACAGACATCCAGAAAAGACAGATAAAGGACTTAGAGGAAAAGGTAGGTGTTAAGGTCAACATCTATTTTAACTCTACTTTATAATCAGAAATTAATGCCAGTTTCACTCACTGTGTGTGTTCTTTCTTTCATCTCGGGTACTGTGTACTTTGCGTAGGCAGCTGCATAGACGTAGGCCTCACCTGAGTCAGGCACCGGGATCCCAGTGTAGGTGCTGCCCTCGGTGCTTTGCCTTTTGTGTTGATTCCATTCTTTTCCGTAAGTTATTTCCTTCCTCAGTTTCCCCTTCTTCATCTTTATTTCCTTTTCAAATGTTTCTTTTGAGTTTTGTTATTCTGTTTTCTCTTAAAAATACGTTTAACGCCTTTTTAAAAAAAATCCCATTATTATTCATAAAAAGCCCTTCATTCCTGATACTGCAGTTTCACTTCAAAAATAAATTCATAAATGAAGATTGACATATGATAATTATGCCCTCCTGTCACTTCCTCATGTCATTTCCCCCAGTGATCTAGAAAAATCACTGCTTCTTCCAAGCGAGCCAGCACTTTTGGGGGGTTAAAGCATAGTCTTTCTTAAAGAGGACATTTGCAGATGTGTGTGTGGTGGGAGAAGGGGCATTTGTGCAGGGGTGCTAAACAAGCTCTGCGATGAATTAAACAGTTTGGCACAACAAAGTTATCCTTCCGGTGATGCCAGGAGTGTCTGCTGAGGAACACAGCAAACATGTTGAGAGGTTTTCCTTGAGTTCCAATATCATGGACTCGAAGTAGCTGCCAGATCGCTACGTTGCAAAATAATATAATGCTTTCCTGTATCTTCCATAGTCACCCAAGAAGAAAATAGCAAACCATGTGGCATTTCTGAGACTATGGTTAGAACTTGGTTCATCCCAAGTTGCTTCTGTAGTTGTCCACATATGTGAGTTCAGATGGAGCTGGTGGGGACCATCAGCCACCTGGATTCTTATGTAGGCTGGTCTTCAGGTACTTATTTGACATTGGGTAAGACCCCCTGTGTCTAAGCCGTGTCTATAGAATACGTATGATAACATTTACATTCACCTCCTCTCCACGAGGAACAAAATTAGTGGTTGGTTAAAACAGTAAGAAAGTCAAATTTAAAAGTATAAATTTTTAAAGTACCAAATGTAAAGTATACTTCTGCAAATTTTTAAATTTAAATTTTCCTCATTTCAGACGTGTGCTATTTAGTTCTCCAGGATTGAATGAGGCAAAGTTAAACAAGGACTTAGTCTCATTTCCCAAGTTTTTGGCAAGAAGACCCACAAATCAGGATTTC